GAAAATTTCATGTCATTAGCACCTCTAGTAATATATTCACTGAGAAAAATGGTGACGTGTTCAATACTTATTTTACCCGCTGTATTAACATGGCAGAGTGATGTGAACTCTTCGCAGTCCCCTCCTAAACAGTAAGCACCACTATTGAGAAAAATATTACCACCACATGGCAGGAAAGGCACCAGAAATAATCATACAGAATGTACAATCTTCCTACAAAACATAACTACACAGTATCAGTGTATCCATTTACCCCCAGGATTCATTTTGCATCAGAGTTTTAATGGCGATATTCAAAACTACAAGGTGTATCAGAAAAAAATGACACTCTCAGAAAAATTGCCATAAAATTAACATAGATAATAATTTTGAAAATGTGGGCATAAATTTTGGTAGAGGGGATCATTCTGCTTCGAATGACACCAAAATCGTAGTTAATGCTTCACGCTCCAGTGAGCAGGGACAGTTGGAAATTCACAAAATTCATGTCCTTTGCGCAAGGAAATGTGAGGGTTAAAATACAATCTGTCACATAAAATTAAAAGGTTAGATGGTGTTTTACARGCATGCCAAGGTGTTTTTAAAACWATTAACCCTTTCATGTCCTAACGTCGAAACTAAAATATCTAATTTTTGAGTGGATCATAACCAAGGGTTAACAAATACGTGAAGTGGCCGTGGACAAGTCAATCCATCCAACTAACATTACATGTAATGTACTGTACATATACATGTATTCAGTGGGTATTACTTGTAATTATTCCATAACCTGGTACAAGATCATGTGATCGTGTGGTCATTTCTTTCATTAAAACAACATGATCATAAACATCACCTTATCTTATGCAGACAATTGCATAATTCCTGGACATAAAACCTGTCAGCACCTGTGCAGTTGTCTCTCTTCCTGCCTTAGCCTGTGTGGTGTAAAATGGCCTGACCACAGTTCACRGCTCAGCAGAGGTCTTTCCTGGTTACTGAATACCTCCAAAAGAAAAGTGTTCACACTGTCCTTGGGTGGTTCCAACATGAGTTTCCAAATGTTAGGGTTCTCATGCTTCTCCAGCATGTTGCTCTTCGAAGAGGGTTCTGACTGCTTCAATGTTGGCTGGTGTGCGTTGGGCCCTTTGTTGGCCGGACCACCCCTTGTTGAGATTGTGGCTGGTCCCAGAAGCACGGTACTTGTTAATGTTGCGGAAGACAGTGAGACGGTTTGGAACAATTGTTGCAATTGTCTGCATAAGATAAGGTGATGTTTGTGATCATGTTGTTTTAATGAAAGAAAATGACCACACAATCACATGATCTTGTTCCAGGTTATGGAATAATTACCTGTAATACCCATTGAATATATATACATGTACAGTACATTACACGTAATGTTAGTTGGCTGGATTGACTTGTCCACGGCCACTTCACATGCGTTTGTTAACACTTGGTTATGATCCACTCAAAAATTTGATATTTTTGTTTCGACGTTAGGACATGAAAGGGTTAATTATTTTAAAAACGTTTTGGCATGCGTGTAAAACACCATCTAAACTCTTAATTTTGTGAGAGATTGCATTTTAACCCTCACATTTCCTTGCGCAAAGGACATGAATTTTGTGAATTTCCAACTGTCCCTGCTCACTGGAGCGTGAAGCATTAACTAAGATTTTTMTGTCATTCAAAGCAGAARGATCCCCTCTACCAAAGGTTARGCCCACGTTTTCAAAATTATAATCTARGTTAATTTTATGGCAATTTTTCTGAGAGTATAATTTCCTCTGATACACCCTGTATAGTGTTATTTTTTCATAGCCTGATATCAAGTTAGACTACCCAATCCTGACCCCAGCGTCTGTCACATTCGTTAGTTTGACTTGCATAAAAAGAAAAATTAAGGCAACTTGTTGAACATCTGTGCAATGCAATGCAGTGGTTACATTTTAATCCATCAAAAGTCCTTTTCAAAGACCATGGGAATTGTACATTTTTCAAACAAGGTCTTCCGTCAACCAATAATCTGAGCTTTTTTTATTCCCATAAAAAGAAGGCGATTTCATCAAGGTCAACAGGATAATCTGTGAGGTGAAGGGGTTCTTTGATGTCATATCTCTCCCCCTTGTAGCTCAACCAGTGGCCAGCTGGGAGATAGATGTCACGCTCCTGCTTCCCAGGCTCTAACACTGGAGCTACCATGAGGTCATCCCCAATCAGGAARTGTGAGTCAATTTTATAAGCTGTCTCATCACCTGTAGCAATCCACCACAGGGGACGTATGATTGGGTCCCCGGTGTTTAGAACTTCGCTTGCAAGCTCAAGAACGCGTGGTGCAACAATACTTTCATGGATGGCTGTGTACTTCCGAGCGATTTCAACCACCTCGTTGTCGTATTCCCACGGCGGAATAGAAAACTGCATGGAAGGCATGAAGGCTGAGAGCTCCAACCAGCGGATGTAAAGTTCTCGATCTGGTATCACCCGATCTCCCTCTGTGCGGTTCAGATAGGCGTTTCCGCCAATCATGTCTGGTTGAATGAACTGATAGCCAAGAATGCTGATGGTGAGTACTGTGGGAATAAGAGATTTAAGGCCTAACTCATAGCCCCACACAGAATCTCTATCAATAGGTCTGAAGAAGCAAGATATATTCTGGGACTGGTATCCACTGCGCAGCTCAGCTCGATCGTTGTAGTGAATAGCCATTTCTGTGTAACGTCTTGTGAAAAAACTTGGGTCACGAATTGGGTTCTTAGTGCTAAACTTCCACGGTAAGTAATTTGTCTCTCCCGCTTCAAATTTAAAAGAGGACACCCCGTACTTTGAACGTAGTGAACGCAGATGGGAGGAAAACCAATCACGGGCTTCTGGATTTGTAAAGTCCAAAATGCCACCAATGCCGTTCCACCAACGCACTAAAGCTGGTAGCTGGCCTGTAGGCTCCCGAACAAACAAACCCTTCTCTACACAAGTATGGAAGTTGTCTGACTCATAGTTAACAAATGGATGAACCCAGAGAGAAACCAGYAATCCATCAGATTTGAGTTTCTGAAACATGGCAGAGGCATTAGGGAACTTCACTGGGTCAAACTCAAAATCTCCGTAGCGTTTTGTGTAGCGGTCATCTAGTTCAAGATGGCTACAGTTAAAGTTATGTTTTTCAATATTGGCAGCAAATGACAAAAGTTTTTCTTGGTCGATATCTTGCTTGTATAAAGCCCAAGTAGACCAAATAGGATGCTTAAACATGACTTCGGCAGGTACTTTGTAAGGTTTGTTGAAGTATCTGCGGACCATGTACTTATGTATGGATGTCACATCGGAGCCTACGCAGACTCTGTAGCTGAGTTCAGCACATGGTGCCTCCCCTGGGTTTGGCCTGAAGGGACTATCGTTGTATCGAGCCTGGAAGTACATGGTTTTCTCAGTGTCATTCCAGCCAAGGTGGAAAGGCACAGAATTGTTTATCTTGATGGCAGTGGCATTGGATGAGAGCCAGTAACTCTCCAAAATTCCACCAAATTCATTCCGGTTTGAGTAGATGTCACTTGTAACAAACGGTTTGGGAGCRTGTTGGCCAAAAAAAGAAATAGGCCAATGCTGAATTGCTGATATAGCACCTCCATACCAATGTGCAAACTTGTAAGTCATGGCATGCATAACAGGAATGTCAGGAACCAGTTCCTCCCAACGCACTCTGTAGCACTGCACGGTGTCCTTGGGTCGAACAGTCTTGATAAAAAATTTTAGTTTTCTGTCAGTTGTGCGTTCACAACGWATAATCTCCCCTTCTTTAAAGCAGGAGTCTAAATCAAGGGTCCCCGATCTGTAAAAATTTAAAAATTAGTTTTGCATTTTTTTACGCAAACATTGCATTTTTATGAAACATCCAAAAGTGTTCAAAATATGTTTATATTAAAATGCATATATGATTACATTCTTCAATAATTTATCAATTTGTCAATAGCCTAGAACAGCTCCAACATTATCTGAAAAACACCAACCTGAAGTCCATCCTGAAAACAATCGACCCTCCCTGGTTGCGTATAATGTAGCCATCTTTATTCAAATCCAGCAACTGAGTCTTGAACAGCTCAGCTTTGCGTAGGGAGGCGATGTAGTAACACCAGGCTGTTACAGCTGCGATCACAAGGACCAGACCGATTACACCGGCTCCAACTAAGGGTCGAGAGTCCTTGGTATGTTTTTGCTTGGGGATAACATCTGTAATTGTGCCCCCCGCTCCTCCTGGCACCACTTGGTACATGGCTTGTGCTGTTCAGTGGGGAAATCRCCACACAGATCATCCAAATGTTTACCAGGGACCCTCTGGTTGGACTCTGGCCCTGTCGTCACATCTGTTTGCAGGGTGTCATACAAATAAGAACAGGAGAAATAAATCAATACTTTGGTTTTTTTACTCTATTCTTGAATGTTTCCTGTTAAAAAAGATTAAACAAAAGTTGCACAAARCACAATGTGTCCTTTTCTATACGTATTTATTATCAAGTACCCTCATCTAATGTTAATCATTAATCAGAACAAAATTACTTTAACAGAGTAATGCAGGAAAAAAAATCATCAAACAGGCTCTACGTCTTTGTTTTCCTGCCATTTGAAAACCTCCATTACATTTTAAGCACCAACTAACAGGCTTTGCATTGCTGCACAAAGTGATTTCACGGCACTTAAAGATATTAGGCTGTCAGGATGTAAACTTTAAAGATGTGTTTGAGATTTAACAAAACAAATCTGCTGCCAATTGCCCATAAAGAGAATAAGTGGATGTCCCCAGTGGTAATTTGGACACGAATTCAGCTGAAAGAAGACTAATTTGTATGGAAGGAAGACGAGACGAGCAGAAACAGGGATTTTGGCCTTAAACCTCTACGCCAAGAGGAAACGGTAAAGAATACTAAACATTGTGCTTGATTAGACTAATCTGACATAACTTATATCATTTCACTTAACTGTGACAACAAATCCAGGAAAGACAAAAAATATGTTTTTAAGCCACTTCAATAGAAAGCAGAACTGAATATTAGTTTCTTAGTTTTTTCATCATCAGCGACCATTTTTTTAAAAGAAGAAAAAGAAAGAGAAGAAAAAGGTTAAATGTAATTGAAAAAGAGGGAAAGAGAGATTAGAAGATATGTGAATATATACATCAAGAAAATTCAAGACAAAACACCCGACATCTTAGCTGCACACCTGCAGAAACAGAGATAACAAAAACACAACAACAAAAATGCATATGTATATAATGACTATATATAACCTTACTGAAAGGTATACCTATATATTAGGGCTGCACAATATTAGAAAAACCTGTGATGTGTAATATTGGTGCTAAATATTGCAATGATGATGTGATTTGCTATAAATGAACAAATACCAAATACATAATTACGTAGTTTTGATGTCTTTCTGCTCTGGATTAAGAGCAAAAAATTAAAAAAAAACGTCAAAAAAACAAAACAAAAAAATAAAGCTAATCATTTTCATTCCGAAA